TCTCTCTCTCTCTCTCTCACTCACTCACTCACTCACTCTAACTATACTGCCTTTAAGTTGATTTCTAAGCCATTCATTGATTTTTAGGTTAAAATTCTTCCTGAATATGAGTTAACGAATCCATTGAAACAAAGGACACAAACATTGACGGGAGTGACGGGCCGTCCACTGGCGGAGTGTTCGCGTTGGCCTCAATGGGTGTACGAACTCTACGACCCAAACCTATTGATGGACAGAATTAAGGTCTACCTGAAGACGTGGCAATTTAACGACTACTCGAGTCCGGCGCCCCTCAAGCCCTGCGAGTTCTCCTATTGGGTGGCGTCGAACCTACCCATGGATGACAGCCAAAGGTGTCAACTCTTGACAATTAATAGTTCGGTACAAAGGCTTCGCTTTGAGTTAAGCCTTTTGCAAAAGTACTCGTATTTGTGTTGCTCTGAATGCAAGACAAAGATCTGCGAGAAGGAGGACGTGATCGTCATGTCTGTGAACGGCCCGCAGGGAACGTATGTCAACCCTTCCGGTTGTGTTCACGAATTGATGACAGTCTCAAAGACTATGAATATTGTGCTCATTGGTCGGTCATCAGCCGAATTCTCGTGGTTTCCCGGGTATTGACTCTTGTTTTGCTGACATTTGAAGAATACATTTATAACGAGTATGACATGTGATGACAGGTACGCGTGGACTATATGCCGGTGCGCGCGATGTAATGGCCACATGGGCTGGAAGTTCAGTTGTGTGGACAAGAAGCTGAGGCCCGAATGGTTTTGGGGTCTTTGCCGGTCGTCGTTAGAGCCCGGACTCAAAATAGACGACGAAATCTCGTGGAAACCCGTTCTTTAAGAGAGTCACACGTAAACCATGTTATCGTTTATTTGTGTAATAATTATATTTTAAAAAATTTATTTTTCTCGTCATAAATACATATATAAATAATACTTAATCCTAACGTAAGAACAATATAAGAATGGGTTATTATAATTGATTATAAGTATACATAAAATGTATAATAAGATGATTATCATAAGTGGTGATGGAGTGGTGTGTTTCAGATGAAGAGTCCGTCTTCGTCTAGACATGATCTGTAGTGGTTTTGTATTGCTTGAAACCTAACAGTCATTATATAACAAATAACAAAATTATGAGTGATTTGCTGAGCAATTAATCTGTGATCATATATTAGCCATACCTCTCAAAACGGCGCCAACATTTAGGACAGGTATAGGATTTTTGGACCTATAGATCGTGAAGAGAATATTATATTTATATATTTATTATTCGTTTGCAATTCAAAACGTAAAGTGAATGTAAAAATTATAATTGATTATAATTTATATATAACTTTTAACGTATGATAATTATAAATTAATATTAATGTAAATTATATGTAATTAAAAGTAAAATATCAATTAAATGAAAGGAAAAATGAGTTATAAATGAATAGAAATTAGAGGAGAGTTGTGAGTCCACCACCAAAATTGAGTTTTGTTTGATTCCCGACATAAGTAATGGCCGTAAATGCGAACGACTATTACTTTGTGACCAAAAAATTGGTTCAAAACTCACAGCTTTCTCGAATGTCTATGCCTTCTGTGATGTCTGCCTACCGGTAACTCCTCGGCCGCGGCCTTGAGGTCAACGGTCGGCGCACCCCTTTCCAGACGCTCCTCCGTATCGGCCAATCGCTCCTTCAGCTCCTCGACAGTGGCCTCCAGTTCTGTCACTTCCTTAAGAGCCGCCAATTTAGACATCTCTTCCAGTTTGAAGTCCCGCTCGAAGAGCATCAGCTGTGACCGCATGGCCGCCATTTCCTCCAGTTTGGCACTGCTGTCACTCACTTGACGCTTGAGTGCAGTCATCTCATCAGCCATTGCGTCCATTTTCATCTGCGACTCAATCACTTGCGAACTCAACTCCTGTGCCTTCAGTTCTGACGGAACGTTGAGCTTCTCATAGGAAGACATTTGATCGCATTTCGACCGAAGAGTTGCCACTTCTGTCGACAACTCTTCCACGAGCTTCAGACCCGCCAAACCCTCCAATTGCAACACTCGGTCCGCGAGACCGGCGTTTTCGGCCACCAGACGGCCGTTCTCTTCGGCCATACGTTTGGTATCTTCGCTGATCTCCTGGTTCTTCGCGTGCCATTCGTGCAGATTCTTCAGCTGTTGTTTCATAAACGTGTTATTCTTCTCGAGCTCTGCCTTCAGCTTCTCGTTCTCATCCCTCAGTTCTTTCAGATAGAGCTCCAGATTATTGGTCAATATGTTGTCCATCTGTTGAGAACAGCTCTTCACGTGCTCTTCAATGCGGGACAAGTTGTCGGACATTGAGTGCACGGATTCGTTGTCACGGAGTTCTTCGGCGT